CTGGGGGGGTGCTGGGGAGGGAAAAAGAAAATCTTAAAAGACCGTCTTCCCTGTGGTCTCCAAGGAGATCAGCCTGTGAAATGATCCGCACGTTAATTAAAAACGATTATATCCTGATTGAGCCATTCCTGCTCACATCCCCAGCCAGGGAGAGGATGAGGCTGAGACCAGGGGATGTAGGATGCTCAGGGTCTGCCTGCAGACACAGCCAGATCAGGAACTCAGAGGGAGCAGAGGCTTGGAAAGGCACATGCCTGTCGGGTTTGAGCTTCTCCTTTGAGTTTTAAGGATTCTCCCAGCTGTGTCTCTGAGGTCCCCAGAGCTGTGTAACACCAACCTTACCCCATGGTTCTGCATCCTGTGTCTGGCACAAAGTCCTGTTGTTTGCACAGCTCCTGAATGTTGGTGTCTGTGGTTCCAGCATTACAGTGAAGTGACACACTCACAGTCATGGTGGCCAGAAGTCCCAGACTCATCCAGATTCTCTGATCTCAAATCCCAGAACCCTTTCTTAGCTTCTGCTTGCCTCCTCCCCACGCCCACTCTCACCATGAGCCTTTACCTCTGGAGGATGCCTGGGAAGCTAGGGCCCCCAAAGCCACACCTCTTCAACCTACACTGCACCCCTGAGGTAGTTATTTCTGAGGTCTAAGCAATAGGGCAGAAGGCTGTGATGGCCATTTGGGTGGGAAGCTGGATGACTCACCATCTCCAAGCAACCCAGGCCTGACTTATGTCATCTTTGCTAACATCTACTCTGCTTCCAGATTGGCTGATGATTCTGCAGCAGCTCAGCCACAGGTGTCCTCGCTGGGCCATCATATCCATACTCCTGAGTACATATACCAAGGTCTTTCTGGAGAGGCCCAGCTGAATCCTGCTGCACCTGGCCTGGTCATTGCTGAGCTCATCAAGTCTACAAGGACTACTGTGGTAGAATTGCAGTGGTGCCATTATAGAAGCACCAGATGACCCTTAGCCTATGCCCAGGGGCAGGTGTTGCCTGGGTTCCAAAGAGTGTGGATGTTCCGGGGAACCAGTTCACCTGAGCTTTTGTGGAGATTTGGCTTTTACTATGTTCCTGCCCTCTTCTATACACTGTAAGCCACCCAGCCTGAAAGGAAGAGACCTCGATATAGGCAGCCACACCCAGAAACAGAGCACTGGCCGTGAGCAAGGGCTTTTTCTGCTTCATTGAGCATCAGTTTCCCCCTTCTGCCTTGGGATCCCAGCGGCTTGTTTGTACATCTGTCCATCTGCTTAGGGCACCTTTGTGTTGCTCTGTAGGGGCCTTGGGCTTGCTGGTTTTGGGGGAGAGGGACATGCTGTAATCTTTTAGTCTTTCTAGGGGACATTCTGGGGTTCAGGTGACTTCATCTCAATCTGACCTGATCTGGGCCTGATGGGTTCACTGGACCCACCTAAGGTTACATTATCAAAGGTAGAGTGTTTGGGGAAAAGGAAGGAGTATTCCTGTTGGACTGGGTTCCAGTGAGATTTGTTGGATCTAGTCGCACATTCTTAGGGGAAGCTTGACCAAGGAGAGGATTTGGGAACCAATAATGTCAGGAGGAGCCAGAGGGGCAGTTAGGGTGGGAAGAGCAGCATGTACCTGTTCTCAAAGGGCAGAATTGGGAGAGAGGTCTACTCATTCCACAAAATTCCTTGACACTGAAGCAGGCAGAGACCTTGCCTGCACCAGGCTATCCGTGAAAGTGGCCATCTCTCAGGTGACCTTGAAACCTGCTATTCCTCTAAATATCCCTCTCCTGTGTTCCCCAGGGCCTGTAATGCCTCATCACCACCACTGGTCAGAGCATTGAAGGCCCTGCTTAAAATGCTAACATGAGCCAGCAGGATGGCATATGTCTATGATCCCAGCATTTTAGGAGGCTGAGGCAGGAAGATCACAAGTTTAAACCCAACCTAGGCAATTTAATAACTGAGACCCTATTTTTTTAAGTGAGAATATATTACCTTGGAAGAGGAATTAGAGATGAATTCATGTTTGCATAGTGCGGGGCCACCAGTCCTGGTGGGGTGTGCCTGCATATCCTGGCCCCAGGTACACAGGATGAAGCCAGGGAACTTATCACCCACTCACTGCCTTAGGCATCAGGTATCAGATGTTTCCATGGCACGGCCTGGTTTGTTTGTGCCGTCATCTAACTCAGCAACTCCTTGCAGGCTAGATTTGGACTCCAGCTACCAGTCCAAAGCTTCCAGCTTGATTGCTGTCACCCAGCGGTCACTGTGACAATCCTGCAGCACAGCTGGACATGGATAGTGATGCCAGAGCTCCCAGGGGGGCTCCCTTGTCCAGTCTGGGCTCCAAAGGACCCAGCAAGGCTGGGAGGTGAGGCGAGGTGTCCTTACCAGGATGAGGGATGGAGGTACAGGAAGAAGCTTTGATGGCAGGGCAGAGCTTCCAGAGGGCAGCTCTAGGGACAGAGGCAGAGGGAAAATCTTTGCTGGAGCCATCCTGCAATGGGTGCCTGGCCACAGTCTGGGCTCTGGGTTGGCTTACAGCCCAAGGCTGCAGGCTGAGCTCCTGAGGGGCCAGGAGAGGCCATGGAAGTGGTGGTACCAGCCCTGGGTATAGCCGGGCTGCCAGACACACTGCCAGCCTTGTGTGCACCTCCTACCTAGCTGGCCCTCATTAAGAGGTGAAGATGGGACACCCAGGCCAGGCTGAGCTGGGTCAGCCTGACCCTGTGCCCCTCCCCATCAGGCCCACCTAGACCCACACCTTGTCTCACAGTCATGTTTTGTTTCCTCTATTTGTAGACAGCTCCTTTGGCTGGCCAGGAGACCTTGCCCAGGGAGAGTCAGGGGGGCATCCTGGAGGAAATGGCATGTGCCTGCATGTACTTTCCACAGGAGGAGGGTTGGCGGCTATTCTGTGCTGCACACCTGGAGGTTTGGAGAAAGGGAAAGGACCTGGAGTGGGTGTGGACTGCAGGACCTCTAGAAGGTCAGGGTGGGTTTGTTCCTGCAGCAGTGGAACAGGAAGGTGCTGGAGGCAGTCTTGTGGGTGGGGCAGAGGCTCAGAGGTGGGACTGAATGGGGCCAAGGAGAGAAGAATGCAGAGGTTTGGAGAGGCCCTGGGGAGGCTGAGTGACTTGGGTGGCCAGTGCTCCTGTCTGGGCCTTGTTTCCTCCCTGGCACTCCTGAGTCCTCATTCTGACCCTTCATTTGAGGACAGAGAAGAGCATCTTCCTTAGCATTACCCCCAGCTTCCTTCCACAAAGAGCTGCTGTATGGGCCTGGGTTCTGTCAGAGGGAAGTAGAGCCGTGACCCTACTCCGCACACTTCTTAAGACACTGGGGAGGGAGGTGCCAGTCCTTGGGGAGCAGTAATTAGAGCCCAGCAGATTACAGTTCCCTCAGAGAAAGCTCAGTGCTGGGAGGAGGGACAGTGCCCAGGCTGGGAGAGGGCCAAGGCCTCCTCTAGACAGACCTCCTGGTCAAACCCCAGCTCTTCCATCCTCAAGTCCCCCTGCCAGGGAAGGCTTTCTGTTGTCCACATTTGCAGATAAAGAAACTGAGGCTTAGAGTGGTCAGAAAACTCTAGTCTAAGGTCCCATGGGACAGTAAGAAGCCAAGCCAGGGATGAACAGGACTGGATGGGAGCATGGCCCTTCTTCCTAATACTTAGGGAAGGAAATGTCTGATGGCTGAGGTCCCGGCAGGCAGCAACTTGGAACAGGAATGAGTTTGGGCAGAGTAGACCTTCCTGGTACCCCTAATGACATTTCCTAGGTTTGGGAACTTTTATCTGTTGGAAGGGGCTGGGATCATGGGTCACACTGTCATGACAGGAAGGAGTTAGACCCCAGGACCTTGGGCTTGGCCATCCATGTGCTTACTGCTGTGTAACATGAGCCAAGGGACACACCACTCTAGTGGGCATCTCCTCATCTATTAAGGGCTTGGTTTCTTTTGTGATTCCTTGTAGCCTTAGTGTGATCTGCTGAGGGCAGACCCAAATAGTGAATGACCCAACCTTGTGGGTCCCTTTCTCCCTCTCCCTCATTGATCCCACAGAAGCCTGCTGAGCCTGTTCTCATACCAGGGGCTTCTACATTCCTTTTATCACCTGTCCTCATTTGGCAGATAAGTACACCGAGGCCCAGTGGCCAGCTAGCCCCATGCCAAGGAGAGCATATTCTGTGTTTTCTTAGTGGCCCTACCTGGAAGACTCTTTGCCCTGCAGAGCCTGCCCTGCCTCTGAGCAGACCTGTGTGCCACGGAGAAGTAAGATAGGATCAGCTAGGGCTTGAGAGGTGACATCCTCAGATGGGTGGTGTTTGGTCAGCACAGAGTTTTTAAAATAACGTCAGATGTCACAAAAATTCTACTTTTTGCTTTTCTTTAAAGCATTAGCAGGTTGGCATTGCTAGCCCACATACCCACAGGGCACTGTTGGCAGAGCTTAGATGAGGCTGCCATCTTCCCGTGTAGCCAGAGCCACCCAGCCCCTGCTTACTTACACCTAGGTTCTGATCCTGGTACTCTGGCTTTCACTGATCTGAGGCAATGACATCTTTGAAGTTCTTCTATTAAATGTCACAGCTGAGAAACTGATTGCAAACTGAGTCTTGGAGGTGTTTTCCAAGAATTCTTCCTCCAATCCCTAAAACAGGAAAAGGTACATCAGGTGTGGGGGGTGGCCTGGAAGTGACAAGGAGGTGGGAGGTGTGAAAGGACACAGGGTGCTTGGGGAATGATGGCATGTTCTCCTTGCCTGTTAGAGGGTTGGCAAAGCCTGAATACTAACACTAATAAGATTTTGCTTCTAGAACATGATTCATTCATTGCAGTCATTCATATGACCCTCACAGCCACCCTGAGAGACCACCACTGTGAGGGCTTCTGTTCCCGTTCTTAGTAGACCAGACAGCTGGTGCTCGGAGAGATCAGAGACCTGCCCTGATCCCTGAGGGCTGAATTCCAGCAATGACTCCTACCCTGACTCCCAACCCAGTGCTCGTCCTGATCTAAGACACCGTAAAAACTGGCTCTTAGGTGAGCTTTTTTCTTGTGCATTTTTAAGAATGCTCTTTTAGTTAATATGCGGGAAGGATTTCGATGTTCTCGTACATAACCTTTTGCTGAAGCGACAACGTGCGATAAAAGGGTCCCGAGAGAGCCAGTGTAATTTGGGCTGTGAGGGACAGAGAATACCAATGCAGCAGCCTCCCTAGCAGGCCCGGCTGCTTCCCCAGCATGGCAACCTGGTGTCCCCCTGCCCCTGGCTCCCTGCTGTGTTGGGGTTTGGGACTATGCGTTAGTTCTGATCACGTTCAACTATCTGGTTTTCTTTTTCCCATTTTTGGGAGAGGATCTCAGATACTACAGGAGGGAGGTCAGGCTTAGAGATGCGTCTCTTGGACTGGGAGGGATCAAAAAAGGTAGGTGGGGGACAGATGTATCTCTGTCTCTGCAAGAGCGGGCAAGCTGGAGACATCAAAGGGGCCCACACTGAGGGCACATTGAAGGGCACATTCAGCTCTATTCACATCTGCCCTTGGCCTCAAAGGATCGGAAAAGAGGGGCTGGGGAGGTTCCAGTTAATTGAGGCTGATTCTAAATTGGGAGGCTTAATAAATGGTAATTATCCTCCTGTGGGAGCAGACCAGAGCTAAGCAATGCTGCTGGGAATGCAGGTCAGAGAAGCAGAGCCTATTTCCCTCACCTACCTAGGGGCTCTGAGAATATCCCCCCCAAAGGCTTCTGAGACAGAGCTGGCAGGCCAGGGGCTCATTCCTGCTCTCCCTGATGTAGGTTGCAAATGTGAAGTGTAGGTATGTTGCGTGGCTGCCTCTGTGTCTGTAGTGAACTCTGTGGGTGTGCCAAAGGCAGGTTTGTGTGCATGTATTAGGGCCTGTGTACCTCTGTGTGCTAGGACCAACCCACCCTGCACTCAGCTACCTCCAGTTCCCTTTCCCTGAGAATACTCACCCCTTTATTTTTCCCACCTGACATGGAGGAGGGAGGAAAGAATCTCAGTTTGAAATCTCAACTGAACACTGGCTCCATGCCTCTGGAGAGCAGTGCCTGGCTGTGTAGACAAGTGATACAGCCAGGTTTCAGTTCCATTCAAAGGGGAACTTTCTGTCATTCAGAAGTGGCCTAGAGTACTGCAGGAGGGAGGGAGCATCCCATCTTAGTCAGTGTAGAGTCAGATACCAAATGTGTTCCTTCCTCTTTTTTGTTCCTTCTAAGCCCACAGCACTGGGTCTGTGAACTTCCCATTGGCAGTGAGCATTTACGAAGCTGCCCCTGTCTTTCCAATCCAGACTAGTTAAGGGAGTGGCAGAGAGCTTCTGCTCCTTAGTGTCTCTAAAACTTAGACCATAAGAGACCTGGAGTAGGTGGGTGAGGTTTGCGTGGGTATGAGAGGTACAACAGACTTGTGTATGTGTTGGCTGTGTCTATGCAGATGGAGGAGGGGCTGCAGTTGTTGGGTATGGGTTTCCATGTGTGTGGTGTGTGGCTCTGAGGGGTGGGTGGTGTTTATGTGCACTATGTAAATATTACCATGAAATGCACTTCAGCCGGTAGAAGTGTTTGTGGTGAGGACGTGGCCTGGAGCGGGGGCTGTGCCGGGATCGCCACCAACTCCATCCTGGTTCATTCTTTCCCATGAAGTCAACTCTCACTGTTCCTGCCTCCAGGTCAGACCTGGGAGGCTACCAGTCACCCCAGACCTTGGTACTTTGTGCTGTTTCACCCTGGACCTTGGCAAGCCTAGCTTTTGACTTTGTCCTTGCTCTTGGAACAAGGACAGGGCCAGCAGATGGCCAAGAGCAGAGGGACAAGGGAAGAGGGGGAGGCGTGGTCGCTATGCAGCTCTTCCCAAGAGATCCCCCAAAAAATGATGTCTGAGTTTCCTACAGCATCTGGGCCAGGCAGGGAGACCTTTGTAGAGATGCCATGGGCATTTGCTGGCTGGGATGTTTCTAGAAATGAGAGGTTACACCTTTCTAGAGATGAGATGGGAAGCATTTCTGAACAAGGGGCATTTCTGAAGATGAGCAGGAACGTATTTGAAGATGAAATGTCAACACTTGTGGATATAAGAGAAAGCTTTTTTTTTGAAGAGTAAAGATGAGGCCTTTCTGGACTCTGAACAGTGCCAGAGACAGAACATTTCTGAGAATGGAATCTTTCTAGAGACAAAGTGGAGTGCTTCTGCAAGTGGAGTGTTTTTGAAGATGATGCTAGAGTATTTCTGGAAATAAAATAGGGCACTTCTGGAGATGAGGTATTTTTGGATCTGAAATGCAACATCTCTGGAGATAGCATGTGTCATTTCTGGAAGTGGATCATTCTTGGAGTTAGTATGGAACTTTTATGGAGAATTCTTGAGATTCTAGAGACGGATTATATTTGAAGATAAGAAGAAATATTTCTGGAGATAAAGTAGAACATTTTCGGCTGTGGAACATTCTGGAGCTGAGGAATTGCTGGATTAAAAGGAACCATTCCTAGGAGGAAATGGTTGTGCTCAGAGAGAAGGGACATTTTTTGATTGAGGATGGTTATTTCTAGAGATAAGAGGGTATAGATGAGTCTGTTTGGAAGCCTCTTGAGGAGTAGATAAAGGAAGGTTCATGGGGCCTTGAGATTTCTCTGCTGTGACCCTTGTTTTGCAGGAGTTGGGCCTAAGGTCCAGAGATAAGTTCCTGTGCTGGCCCTCTCCTGTGAGTGACAGAGCAGGCCTTCTGTGAACCTTTGCAAAGACCTGCCAGTGTCCTTGTCCTCTTCCCTCAGGCCAGTACAGGAATCCCTTCAAAGGGAGGCCCAAGCCCTCCTGGTCCTGATCTTAGGGTTCCCACCTCCATCCTGATGGGCCCCGGAAGCCTAACCATGGGGACAGGCAGCAACTGAATGGTTAAATTTAATTCAGTTTTGTCCCTGCCAGCCTCTCCAGGCCGCTCCTCCAGGAAACCTCAACCTTTCCCAAACCCCCCAGCATTCCTGCTTTGGGGCATCCCTGAGGCTGAAAGAGGGAAGAGGGCTACAAGGCTAAACATGGGCAAAGGCCCAGCCCAACCTCGGGTGCCCAGCTGCCTCTTTCTAGGCCGGGATACTGAGGCTGTCCCCACTGAAGCCAACCTGGAGTCCTGGCATAATTATTTCTCTTCCTTAATTGAAATTTCAGCCTCAGTGATCCTGCCTCAGAAGTGTGAAGAGGCAGAGACCCTGCCCCTGGCCAGAAGCGAACCCCTGTATCCTGAAGGCGGGATGTCCCAAGGGGGCCAGTGGCTTTCCACATCCCAGACACTGGTGTGGCCCAAGGTGCAGGCCTCTGCTGTGCAGGGGCTCAGGCCAGTGACAGCAGCACTTCCATGTAAAGTCTGCCCTTAGCCCTCACAGTTTTGGAAGGCTGGGAGGAGGGATAAGGTCTGAGGCAGATGTGGAAGGGGGGCAGCCCATATGGGGCCATCTGAGTTGGGGGAGCTTGAGGAAGTGGGGCCCCAGGAGACCAGCTGTCTCCTCCCCATCTGGCAGGACCCTGGAGGTGGGCTGGGCTGGCTGTGAGGGGCTGATGGCTGATGGCTGATGGCAGCGGGCCCAGTTCCTGGTTCAGAGCTGGGTGAGGTGGGCTGGGCTGGGCTGGGCTTGGGGAGGGTGGGCAGTAGAGGAGCCTGTTTTCCTGCCTGCTGCGGTCAGGCAGGGCGGAGCATCCAACACACACAATCAATCTCTCTCTCTCTTCCTCCTCTCTCTCCCCCCCCTCTTCCTCTCTCTCCCTCCCACCCTCCTCCTCCTTATTCCTTTCTCTCTCAGAGCTGGGTGAGGTGGGCTGGGCTGGGCTGGGCTTGGGGAGGGTGGGCAGTAGAGGAGCCTGTTTTCCTGCCTGCTGCGGTCAGGCAGGGCGGAGCATCCAACACACACAATCAATCTCTCTCTCTCTTCCTCCTCTCTCTCCCCCCCCTCTTCCTCTCTCTCCCTCCCACCCTCCTCCTCCTTATTCCTTTCTCTCTCTCACCTGCTACTCCACAGGCCCTCAGGCCTGGCCTTGTCTGGTGGGGAAGGGAGAGGCAGAGGACTCCAGGACTAGTGGGAAACAGGGAAGCCATGCTTGCCCCTCTGTGAATGTCTCAAGGGTGGCAGTGAAATGTAGAGACTGCCAGCCTCTAACCACACTTGTCCAGACACCGGCAAATTGAGCCCCATGTGAGGTAGCTGCAGTGCCGACCCACAGAATCAATCCTGCAGGATTCCAGAGAGCCTGCTTGTGCCCCCTGAGGTTCAGTCTTCTCCATCTGGGCAATGGGTCAGCTTGGTGGGCATTGTGAGGACTGAAATAACCTTCAAAGTGTTCAGTACCACAGCTGCTGTTTAATGCATGTGCGCTGGCTGCCCAGCACCCTGTACCTAGTAGGAGCTTGGGGAAGGAAGGTATCAGTGATCATCACTGTCATTTCTGAGATGGTGTTTTTCTTGCACCCAGAAAATTTCTGTTGACACACTCTCTTGCTCAGGGCTCTTTTACCTAGTCTAGGGAAGGCAGGTTTGGTGACAAAGGAGACCAAAGTAATTCAGATTGAAGAAGGGGAGGTGGACCCCAAGGTGGCTACCTCCTTGCACACTGGCTCCTTTGTACTAGGGTAGCCACACATCCTTTGAGTCCTCCTGAGAAAGCAGTAAGCTCAGCAAGGCCCTGCCGTTAGCTTGCCTGACCCCTGGCTTGTAGACAGACACTTAGAGCCCATCGTTATTGGGAAGTGTGGCTGTGACTATCATCCAAGGATCGGGGTGGGGGTGGGTCAGAAATGGCTGGACAGGACAGAACATGTCAGCCCCCAGGAGCTGGGAAAAGCAAGGCGGGTGCAAATGAAAATGCACTATCCCATTTACAGTCTGTTTGCTTCAAGAGAGAGAGGAGGAGGGCAGACACAGGAAGAGGTGGGGAGAGGTGGTGATGCAGAGAACGAAGCTGGCAGCCAGGGGTCAGGGCACCTACGCTGTAGGGCCAGAGATGCTTGCTGCTTGCCTGGGCTGTGTTCCTGTCCTCCTGCCAGACTGGAGACGTTCTGTGCTGCGCAGCTTCAGATACCCCTTCCCCACTGTGCATTCCAACATTTACCCTCACCCCCATCCCCACCCTGACCTCTGCATTACCTGCTTCCCCTGCTTTTCTGCTCCTTTGAGATTTTGAGGGCCTAAGCCACCGCCTTTCCCCAGCAGGCTGTCTTCCTTGCAGTGGTTAGGGAGTGGGCCCGAGTGTAGAGGATTGTGACGGGAGTCACAGGCACCACCCATCGGACCAGTTGGCTGCTGGAACTGACCTTGTACCTTGAGTACAATAACTTGGTGCCTTGAACCAGCTGCCTGGCTCCTTTCCCCACCGTGGAGAGTGGAGTCGAGATGCTGTAGCCCCACCCCTGCGGAGAATCACAGGGCTAGCAAAGCCCCTACCAAAGGGGACAAAACAGATCAGACATCAATGTCTCCGGTGGTAAGGCTTGTTCACCTGCAGGGGCTAGGCCCCATGCCTCAGGCTCTGAGTTTGAGGTTCACCTAGAGCCTTCAGGGACCCTTGTGGACCTCCACATTCCAGAGGACAGGAGCTTTGTGTCATCCAATGGAACAGAATGAAGGCCTTCAGGGCTCCCATCTGACCCCTGCTACTCCCCTGTTGTAGGACCCTTTGAGGAAGACACTGGTCATGGGTTATCTATTCTTCTTGTCACCAAAGAACCCATAGGTCCCAGGGCATCATGGTTTGCCTCCTTCCCAGAATCCCCCTCTGGAGAATTGTGGTCACCACGCCTTCTATGGCTCCCCACCCACCCTGATGAAAACTGATGATAACCAGGTAAGGAAGAGAACTGACATTGTGTCAAGCTTTGTACAGGCACTTGCTATAAGGTTGTCCCTCTGAGGCTAGAAAAACCAGACTCAGAGTGCTGCATGTGCCTCAGGCCACATGGCTTTCAGTAGCCTGGCTGGGATCTGACCCAGGTCTCTTCAGAACAGAGCCCTCTAGGCTGCCTCCCCAGACCAAGCTCCCAGGGAGGGAAGCCTGGTGGAACAATGCTATTTTTTGTGTTTATTTCTGACCCCCACCCTGTGGCCCACCTGGGCAGCAAACCCCCTGGGACAAACCCCGTCTTGGTTTTCTCCAGAACAAAGCAGCCTCTGCTAGACATGCCAAAGCGGAGGCTTCAGGGAAAGCAGGTGAAAGAAACCCAATCTTGCCTTTTGTTGTTCAAGGAGGGAATGAGGGGAATAGATTTGCCCTTGAAGGAGGAAGGGGGAGGCCATGGCGGGTGGGGAGAGGGCAGGGGCAGAGGCACCTGAGCTGAGATGCTGCCTCCCACCCCCATCACAGCGTCAAGAGGGTGGACACCATTTTAGTATTCAGCACACACATACTCACACTCACACTCACACACACACACACACACACACACACACACCCATACCCACGTCACCCCCCACCACCTCCCAGGTCCTCTCTAAACCAGGCATGTATCATCTGAGTAGCAGAGGAGAGAGAGAGAGAGAGAGAGAGAGAGAGAGAGAGAGTGAGAGAGAGAGAGGGAGAGAGAAAAAAAAAAAGAAGAACAAGAAAAGGAAAGAGAAAAAGAGATTAGTGGGGAGAAAATCAGATTCTGGAGTTACCTTAGTTACCAGCTCCTAATGACTTGTGGGGCGGGCTCAGCCACCTTCCAGAGCAGCAGGACCCTCCCTCCCGGGCCCCTCCATCACCCCATTAATAAGACGGGGCCCTTGTTCGTGAGTTCTGCTGCAAAAAGGGAAGAATCAAGGACTTTTCAATAAGAGAGAACTCCCTGGGTGGTTTTGAATAGTTGCTTTTTGTGTGGCAGGGACGCGTCCTCGTCCTGGGCTCTCTGCCCTGGCCGCCTCCCTCCGCCAGCTCCGTCTGGAACCGCCTGCTCCTGGGTCTCCACATGGATGAGCCTGTTTCTCCCAGAGCTCAATCCTTTATTGTTGCTGCCCTTCCCCTCCTGACACCCTCAGCTTAGCAGAGGCCATGGGCAGTCTTTGCATCTCAGGAAAGCTAGAGAATCCCTGAGGTCGTTCTAAAAAGGCTTAAAACCGGGGCTCAGCATGGAGGAAACAAAGCACACTCCCCACATCCAGGGTGCCGGGCCTGCCCGCCAAGGCCAAGCTCATGCTGTTGCTTTGGTGCCAGTGGAAGGGGAATGAATGGAGAAGAGGCTGGCCATGGGGAGATGGTGGTAGAAAAGGAGGGCGATGCATAAATCTGGTTTATCAGACACTGCATATCTTATGAAAGCACATTTCAGCTCTTCTGGCTTTTGGCAAGCTGGTCCTACCCTTAAATTTTCTAATAAAAAGAAATTACATTTGCTGAAAAGGCAGTAACCATCTTCATGTCAGTGCCTCTTGGGGAGACCATAATTCCTGTCTGGGGTGCCTGTGGCTTCAGGTGGGAGGTGGATTCCTGTGGGCACATGTGATGCTGTATGGGGCCAAGGAGCAGGGACACTGGGGTCCATAGCAGCTGCCTGGCAGCACTGTGGGACTCTGCCCTACCCTCCTCTCTCTGGCTCACCTATCTCCAGACTTCTCCAATCGTGATTCAGGGTGCACCACAGAGACTGGACTCCTAAGACTCACAGCAGACACTTAATAAATATTTGTCAAATGAATGAATATTACTGAGGCCTAGGGTAGCCCGCGGGTTTCTCAGAGGATTGGATTTTTGTTGTTGTTCTGGGGATCGAACTTGGGTCCTTGCGCTAGCCAAGCAGGCAGCAGAACCACTGAGCTAAATCCCCGGCCTGAGGATTGGATCTTAGTTGAATTGAGTAGGACAAATGAATGAATGAATGAACAAATGAACATGTTCTAAAATTACCTATCTGGAAGGACCTATCAGTCTTACCCCCAGACCCTGGATCTTTGTTCATTAGAAATTACCCAAAATCATACCACACACATGACCCCAGTATAAAATCATATGCATTCACTGCCTGCCTCGCAAGCACAAGGACCCAAGTTAGATCCCTGGTACCAAAAAAAAAAAAAAAAAAAAATCATATGCATTCATTATTTTAAAAAGAAAAGAAGAGAGAAATATGTGAGGTCAGCTTCATGCCTGAGTCCCCCAGAGCCAAGTCCAAATGCCTACCCTTCATGCCTTCCTCAAGGTATAGGAATTTTGTGCCTTTCTCACCTGGTTTAGGGTTTTACTTTAAGCAACTATGCACACTGTCCTATAACTTTTGTTTTGCTTTGTTTTATTTTGAGACAAGGTCTCGCCTTGTAGTTCAAGGCTGGTCTTGAACTCACTATGTAACCCAAGCTGGCCTGAAATTCACAGTGATCTTCATGCCTCAGCCTCCCAAGTGCTGGGATTACAAGCATGTACCATATCCAGCAGTATGCTATAGCTCTTTCGGACTTTTCAGCTGTTCCCTGTCCCCTGTGACTGATCTGGATGTAGCTCAGACTTTGGGGGGCTACAGAAGAGTCTTGCTTTGTTTTTTATTTAATTAGAAATACCTTCATTCTGTCCCCGGTTTAAACAAGATTGTGTAGGCAAAATACTTATCATGAGTGGCACTTAATAAATCTACTCAGTTCTGGGTCCTAAGCAATTTTTGTACCCTGGCTGCAGGACAGCGTGGTTCTAGAAAGGAGCCCTGCTGCTCCCTCTCTCCCACAGCTTACTGGTGCTGGTGCTCAGGCCCCATCAGACTACTTTACACTATTGGAAATGCCAGAGCATGTGGGGCGGCAAATCTCACACGCTAGCGTTTTTCTCTGGGGCTTTCTTCTGATCTCGGCATGAGCAGCCCTTCCCCCAGGCACTGGGCAGCTAGCTGACAGCAGACAGGAAGGGGGCACACAGACTGGTGCTCCGGGCACCCTCCTGTCAGGCCCATGTGATTCTCAGTCCCTTGTGGATGGCCCAGGAGTCTGAATTCTAACAAGCAAATCAGGCACCACAGGTACCAGCCAGGAGTAGAAACCACCATGAGACAGAGTAAGCCAGGGATGTCTTTTAGGACGGGTGGGACCTATGCTGGTTTGCAGTCCCCTGGCAGTGCAGTGGGAAAACAGACAGGCGCAGAGCAGGGAGGGGAGATGGAAGGGGGATCAGAGGGGTCTGCTCTCCCTGGATTCCTGTTTGGGTGGTACGGTCCATCACCGTGGCTTCTGCACAGTTCTGGGCATAGTGTAGGCACTTAGGAGGCTTTGCTCACAGACCCCAGGACTGCATGAACGGTACCTTGTGCATATGGGGATACTGAATGAGGCACAGGCATAGGACACACTGATTTTGGGGTCCCTGTGGGGTTACCAGAATTGGTCTACTTTTTCTCTGACAGCCAGCTTGGCTGGGGAAGACCCATGGGCCATCGTATGACGTGGGATTCAGTTTCCCCTGAGGTTCAGGCCATTCCCTGCTGTGAGTCTCTGTCTGCTCTCTCCTAAAATGGGCCCCACAACGTGGTCATGAGTGAGAGGTAGCAATCAAGGCAGCCATGACCCTTGGTCCATAGCACCAGAGGCCATTTTGGTGTGGTTTTCATTCAAAATAATTTTCTAATTACAAAAACAAACAAATGCTGGTTGTAAATTTAAAAAGAAAAAGGAACTGTGGAGACAAATAAATAGGTCAGAATCCCTCTCTAGGCTTCCTTGGAGGTCATACTTTTAGTACTAGTTCAACATGTCTTTGTGTTCTTTGGGGGGAGTGCATTTCCACACACAAATTTTCATTAAGGACCTACTGTGTGCTGAGCTCTGAGGATTTAGAGATGCATGAGGCCTGGACTCTGCCTACAGGGGTACTCAGAGTCCTGATGGAGAGTCCCGTCTTCCAACCTGGTAAATTGCCCTCGAGTGGGGAGCACACCAGGTAAGAGGTGTGCCCAAAAGAAGGGACTAACAGAGCAACAGGGAAGGGAGAGGATCATTAAGGGCTTTGTGGGCAGTGGATATAAACTGGGCCTTGGCACAGATGGAATCTTTCAAGTAGAGAAAAGTAGAGGGGACTTAGGAAAGCATCTAGGAAAAAGTGGTCCTGACTGCCACCTTTAGGGTACCCGGGGGACTGCCAGGTTCAGCTACCATAGTAAGCCCCCAAGGAATCCTGGGTCCTGTTTTATTCTGTAGGTAACAGAGCAGGCAGTGGCATGGTCCAGCATGTCTTTGAAATGCACCTCTCTCCAGCAGAGCTTGCCAGTAGGTAAGTAGGGGCTGGGTCAGAGCAGGGACCTTGGCCCCACCTGCACAGGACATACCACTGGAAGGGGCATTCTTGAGCTCTGGGAAGGAGCATCATGCTTTGCCTTAATAGGAGAGGGCACAGCTGGACCCTGTAGGCCAAGGCTGAGCCATAATGTGTCCAGCCAATGGGAGGTGTCCCTCCTGGCTCGAGGCTCTTTTCTGCTAGCACCTGTCAGCCTTGGTGCCGCCACAGAAGCTGAGTCCTCCTTTGTGAAGCAGAGTCCTCCTTCAAGGTGTGATGATCACGGGGACTAGCAGAGGCCCCTGGTTGCCACTCTACCCCCACCCACCCACCGCCTCTGATGCTCAGCTGCTCCCCAGAAAGAAAGACCTTGTCACAAAGGGAGGGAGGGAGAAGATGTGCTTCCACATGCAGCCCATCTGGGAGCCAGCGCTAGTCTCCTGATCCAAGAAAACATCTGTTCAGCTCTCATTCAGAGAGGCAGGCGGAGACTCGGCAGCCCTGGTGCTGAGCAGGAAACAGAGAATCTGGGATAAGTCCAGAGCCCCTGTCCTGAGGGGCCTGTTCTTCCTGGGACTCCTGCTGGGGGCTCCCATCACTCCCTTAAGATAACTGCCACTTCTTTTTCCCAAGGTTGCAGGGTCCTAGAGCAAAAGCCATTGCCTGCCTGAGACTGCCATGTGCTTCCTGGGGACCTTTCGTTATTTCACACACATACTCTGCAGCCATGTTTTTGAGAGATATGGCTGCCAAATGAACTGCATTTATTACATAATGATTAATTCATTGCTCCCATTTCTTATTAATCAAAGACATCCATAATTGCCTATCCAAGCTTTGGGTGGGGGACAGAGCTATGGGCTGAGAGCAGAGCACCAGTGTATTGGGAGAAATGCATAATACCCCTGAGGTTTCTAGATGAGTGGAGACAGCTCCTGGGTCCCCACACCACCTCCCTAAAGCCCTGGTCCCACCTGGGAAGTTTTATACCCATTCTCTAGCCAGTCCTGAGCTCAGGCTGGCTGCTTAGTGCTCAGCCACTAGCTGATTGGTGACTTGTCAGAGGTGGAGAGGGCCAGTCCCCCCACCCCTGAAGGCTGCTGATAGTGGCAGCCTGTGAAGGAGACTGAGGACCTGGGCTGAGTTTCGGGGCAGTTGACAGAAGATCATCCTGGCAAGCTGGCCTTGAGCTGGCAGCTAGGAATTCTGGGGTCCCAAGGATAGTTGAGATGCAGATATCTTTGCAGAGACTAGGCAGGCTCGTGTTTTTAGTCCTCTGACAGGTAGAGAAGCTGAGGTTGGCCTGTGGTCCCCACCCAGCTTTATTCACTCATCTAACACTGATTGTGTCCCAGTGTCACCAGGATTGTCCCTGCCCTCAGGGTCTTCACAGCCTAGTGAAGATGGTGGGCAGAAGCCCACGCAAGTCATCGTTGTCCTGTGCAGTGCCATGCCAAGGGATGCCCAGGGAGAGGAGGGACCAACAAGAGGGCATTTAACTAGGCAGGGGTTGGGGACGTGGCTGTGGTGTGGTTAGAGACAGCTTCCTGGAGAAGTGCTGCTCCAAGACGGTTGGATGGAAGATTTTTGGTTCTTTGGTCTACTTCTTATCTTTGAAAAAAAAATTTGGGGTCTGGGGATCAAACTCGGGGAATCGTGCTTGCTGGGCAAGTACTCCACCACTGAGTCACATGCTAGTCCAGATCTACTTTTTAATTAGCAATAATCGCGACTCGGATAAACCTCATTGGCTACGATACTGCCACTGCGCAAAGCTAAGATCTGCTTTTTAAATACCTGCTTTTTTTTTATTTTAAAATTTTAAATTAAAAAAAAATTTTTTTTTCATTATGTAGTCCAAACTGCAGCCCAGGC